GTGTGTTTCAACTGTTCAAACTGGACTCCGTCCACCCAATTAGTGCTGCTGTAAAGGGCCACTGTGACTTAAACCCAAAATCTGCACGGTTAGTGGCAGTTTCTAAAAGACCAAATCACAAGCACTATCCCTCCTCATCAAAACTCTTCTTCACAAACCTGAAGACTTCTAAACAAACACAAGAGTGGACCAGTACACACTGACTGTCCTGAAATGTGTTGATTCAGGGTTTGTAAGTAATTAAATATTTTAATTTACATATCCTCTAAGGCTCTTTCCATCAAATATAAGATTGCAATTGCACAGCCAGGTGGTGGTGGTGGTGGTGGTGGTGCACTCCTTTAATCCCAGCACTCAGGAGGCAGAGGAAAGTGGATCGCTGTGAATTCAAAGCCAGCCTAGTCTACAAAGTGAGTTCCAGGACAGCCAGGGCTGCACAAACCAACCCTGTCTCAAAACAACCAAAACTAAAACAAACAAACAAAAAGACCACAATTTCACTATATTTCCATTTTTTATTTTAAATTGTCAATGACGAACTCTGTCTGACAGAGTCATTATCTAATTAGTTACTACCATGTTAGAAAATGGCGATGAGAACTGGCTATGATGAAGCAGGCCTATACTCCCAGCATCAAGAGGTGGAGTCAGAAGGATCAGAAGTTCAAGATTATCTGCGCCTATATAACAAGTTCAAGGCTAGTGTGAACTACCTGCAACCCTGTCTCAAAAATCCATATACAAACAAAAAGAGTAAACTGGCAATGAGACCAGTGCTCGTTCCTTACATTAGACCTTATCTGGAGTTTCATTCAGTACCAAAAGGAGTCCACAAGAAGAAATGTTCTTCTCCTCTAACTACCAGTTTTTCTAACTATCAGGAATACCAGTTTAGCCAGGTGTGGTAGCTCACATCTTTAATCCCAGCAGAGGCAAACAGATCTCTGAGTTAAAGGCCAGTTTGGTCTACATAGCAAGGCCAGACCTGCAAGGGCTTCATAGTAAGACCTTATCTTTAAATAAATAAATAAAAACCATTTTAAAAGCAACATAAAATGTTACAACATATAACCTATGTAGAAATGGTGTTTTTACACATTCCAGGAAGACAACTGAAGGAAATTTTTAAACATTCCAAAACAAGCAAAACAGCTGCTCAGTGATAGAAAAAAATAAAGATGAAACACTTGAACTGTTTAAAAGACAGTGGATTCTGTCACTCAATGAACTGTGACAAAATGACAGGTCTAGGGCAACATAAAAGAGCTAGCATGTACCAAGTACCCTTACAGTGATACTCAGACTTTACAGACACAAACCTAAAGTGGGTTTTCCTTTGTGAAGCCTGTTGCCAAAGCAACCAGAAAAGGTCTAGTCTTTCAAGAGAATCTGAAAAACGTTAAGGATAGGAGGCAACTGAGTACATGGGAAGATCGGAGAATAATGAATATGATGCGTGAGAAGAGCAGCATGAAGGACACACGCAACAGATCTGAAGAGCAGAAACCAGAAGGACACACAGTCACTAATAAGAAACGCACAGTCCTGTTCTATTTTTTCAGTCAGGGCCCGTCTCTCGCCCCAAATGCCAACATCAAAGTTAAACTACCATTCTCGTCCCATGTACTGTTTAAGACATTTAAACCACTCAGTTAGGGTGGGGGAGGAGGGGAGGGAGAGGGAGCTGGGATTCACATGTGAAACAAGCTTGTTTCTAACTTAAATAAAAACCACTGAGTTAAGCACAAAAGAAACTCAGGAAACACCAATAGAGACTGGCAACAACCTCCCTCATTCCAAAGCCAAATGTTTGTGTTGAAACACAAACAGCAACACTCCAGCACCAAAAACATCTACTTTTGTGTTGCTACGCAAGCATGAACCCCAATCTGACAAGACTTGACTAGAATGATAGGTCTGGACATACCTTAACAGCGTGATTGTAAAAAGCACAATAAAGGAGACATGCCATTCAATGTTCCATGTGATCTGGATTAGGAATCAAAATGAAAGCAGGACTTCACAACAGAAGTCAAAGGAAAGGAAGCCTGGGCCAAAATCATGGTGGAAAAGTGAAGGTAACACAGGTTGGCTTAAGAGGATTACAGGCCGGCAGTGGTGGCTCTCGCCTTCAACCCCAGCACTCAGGAGGCAGAGGCAGGCGGATCTCTGTGAGTTCGAGACCAGCCTGGTCTACAGAGTGTGTTCCAGGACAGCCTCCAAAGCCACAGAGAAACCCTGTCTGGGGGGAAGGGGTGGATAACGAAATAAGGCCAGGTGTTGTGATGTACACCTGTGACACCTGCACTTGGCAGATGCAAGCAAGAGTTACTCCTACCTACTTCAAAGTTACTCCTATTGACATATGAGTTTGAAGCCAGACTGGGCTGCATGAGACCATATCTCAATACAAAACAATGCTGAACACTATCTAGCAGTGGGTGATGCCCCCCAAAATGACAAAGAATTGGCCCTTCGAGGACCATAAGAGAGATATGGTACCCCAGAGAAGGAGAATGGGATGGGATCGCCTGAGGGGATTGGGAACATGGGGTGAGAGGAGGGGAGAGGAAGCTTGGAGAAAGAGAGGGCGAGAAGAGGAGAGGAGAGGGGCACATGGGGGAGCAGGAAGGTTGAAGCAAGGAGCCACTGTAGGTTTGAGAAGAAATCTGGCACTAGTGAGATTTCCAAAGATCTACAAGGATGACAGTGGAGAGGCTCCCTTAAATGCCCTTCCCAGATAATGAGATTGGCGACTACCTTGTATGCCATCCTAGAGCCTTCATCCAGTAACTGATGGAAGCAGAAGCAGACACCCACAGCTAAACACTGAACTGAACTCCTGGAAACCAGTTGCAGAGGGGGAGGAGTGATGAGCAAAGGGGTCAAGACTGGGCTGGCAAAACCCACAGAAACAGCTGACCTGAACAAGGGGGAGCTCATGGCCCCCAGACTTATGGCTGAGAGGCCAACATGGGATTGATCCAGACCCCCTGAATGTGGGTGTCAGTGAGGAGGCCTCGGCAATCTATGGGGCTTTGGATAGTAGACCAGTATCTATTCCTGGCACACAAATGAACTTTGGGAGCCCATTCCACATGGAGGAATGCTGTCTCAGCCTGGACACATGGGGCTGGCCTAGGCCCTGTATGGAATAATATGACAGACTTTGAGGATTCCCCATGGAGGGCCTCACTCTCCCTGGGGAGCTGAGGTGAAATGGGGTGGGGGGAGGGGCAGGGGAGGAGAGGAGGGTGAGAGAGCTGGGATTGACATGTCAAGCAAGCTTGTTTCTAATTTTAAAAAATTTTTTAAATAAAAAAAATTGGCCCTTCAAGCAAATGTATGTCTCTACATCAGAATCAGTCAAAAGTTTCAAGTCCTTTTTCAATTTTTAGATGTCACATAGTGAGGGTAAACCTAACAGCCACTTAAGAAACCTGACATAGGAAGCCTACAGACCCAGAAGCACAAAGAGGGTGGGACGTTTGTTTACAGCTGTCACTTTCCCTAACTCTCTCCACATCCGCTGGAAGTGAGCACTCCTTCCATAAATTCTCAGTCTCTGTAACATTCCATCTTTGTCCAAGTCCATTTCATACTCTTTATACATCTTTATCTCACAAGTGCAACATACACTCCTCAGGAGTAATACTGTATCTGACTTGTCTTTGAAAACCTCAGGGCATCCATTCAACAAATATTGCCTAAGTACTAAATAAATGACAGGCACCATACTCAGAAAATATCTATTGTTTATGTGAGTGTTGACTATCAGGCAGGAAAAAAACAAGTACATTCCATTCCTACTAGAATTACAAAGAAAATTCAGATGGGCTACTATAAATGCTTTGACTGAGGTTTTAATATCAGGGAACATATCTGTGCTGTTTATTGTTAAACACAAGCCTGCAGTTACACAAGACTATTTTCTCTTCATAACCTACAGAGTGTATTATTTTCACAGGAAGGTCTATCCTCTCATTTGTAAAATAAAATTGGTAACAATTTAGCATACCATTGACTTACACTACTGTCTCTGACATAAAACCCACAGATAGGTCTTTTTCAGTCCACTAAGTGGTAAACTTTTTAAAGCTTGATTTATCCATTCTTTCAAGGGCTTACAACCTCAGATTATGGTGGATCCTGGATGTTAAGAAAAAAAAACCCAACAGGACCACTACAGGAGAATGGTCAAGTCATTAGATTAAGAACTCATATCAAAGTGAAGGATAAGTGGGGGAAACACGGGATATTTGTTTCAAGAAAATTTGTGGGGTGAAATTCAAATGACAGCAACACATGCGTCATAACGCATTTTATTCAGGGTGGTCCAAATTTGTTTAACGTGTTAAACTTTAAAAAAAAAAAACCTGAAAATAGTCCACCACTCCCTCTCCTCACCCTATTTCAGGAAGAGAGTAACACAGAGGAGGGCATTTCGAAATTGTCTCTTGGTATGATTCTGAGAAGGGGAAAAAAAAAACTGGACTAAGACAGCGAACAAAAAAATAAATAAATAAGAAGCACATGTGTCACTATCCAGTCCTAACCAGCTCACTGCAGAACCTGGGATGAGTCGTGGAATAGCCGTGGCTATTCCCGGGTGGTGGAAAGTGCCCAGAGCGGAACGCCGGGCAACTCCTGACTCCTGGCCCTCCAGAATCAGGGGCCACAGCTGGCCTCCCAGAGTGCGAGCTGCACCAGGGTCCGCCTGTACCTGTCCTAGGAAGCAATGAGCACACCTGCTCCGGGACCCAAATGGGGACCGTGCCCAGAGGAGAAGGCTGAGGGGCGGGCTCCTCGCCTGGAGTCCGGCCCCCAGAAAAACTGGGGACCCTGGGGGCCGCCCCGCCGGACCACAGGCCCTGGGGAGGGGCTGGGGAGGCCGGGGAGGAAGGGAAGGGCCGGCGGGCGGGGCCCGACCGACGCCTCTCCCTTCCTCAGCGGAGGGCGAGCCGCTGCCCTGTCCTCACCCTGCCTCCTGCCTCCCTCACCTGATCACCGAGATGAGCAGCCCCGAGGGGTCTTTGCTTTTGCTGACTGAGCTCCTGTATTTCCCACCAGCTGCTTCTGCCGCCATCTTGGTACGGGAGCGAGAGCCAGGTGCTTGACAGGACCGGGAAAGAGTAAACGCCGCGGAGGATCATCCACCAATGGCAGAAGACAACCGCGGAGGCGCGGAAGTGAAGAGACCAATCCCTGCAGAGAGAAGGCGGGACTGATGCCCAGCTGGAGGCCCAGGCGCCTGTTCGCTCTAAGCACTCTGGGAAACGTAGTTCTGCGAGTTCTGGGCATGCCTGGACATTAAGCCAATGGCAACTTGTCCAAGTCTCCTATTCCGTGTCTTCTTTAGATCTCTTCAGGTTATTTTTCGGTTTACCGCCTTTTATAACTTTACACTTTTTTAATTTAATGCATCTGATATCACAGTGGATATACAGATACGTGTATTTAAATGAAGACCCCAAAGGTATGCTTTGTGCTTGAGTGGGCAAAAATATTAACTTGAAATACTGTCTTTAATGAGCCAAATGCAAAATGATTTTATATAGAATGTATCATAAAGAATATACACAAGCCAGGTGGTGGTGCTCACACCTTTAATCCCAGCACTCAGGAAGCAGAGGCAGGCGGATCTCTGTGAGTTCGAGGACAGGCTGGACCGACAGCCTCCACAATACAGAGAAACCCTGTCTCGTAAAAAAAAAAAAAAAAAAAAAAAAAAAAGATACAAAGTTCAAAATTTCAATTCCGATACAATAACAAAGAGGATTTTATAAAGAAATTAATTTAGCCATGCACGGTGGCACACACCTTTAATCACAGGATTTAGGAAATAGGGGCAAGTTGATGTCTGTGAGTTCCTGGCCAGCCTGCTCTACATAGAGTTCCAGGACATTCATGACTATTTGGAGAGACCATGTCAAAAGGAAGGAAGGAAGGAAGGAAGGAAGGAAGGATGGATGGAAGGAAGGAAGGAAGGAAGGAAGGAAGGAAGGAAGGACCAAAGGAAAAAAGGAAAAAAGGAAAAGAAAGAAATTAGCTGAATAATCCCAACTCAACAAAAGCAAAATGAATAAAACAGGAATAAATTTAAGCAGGAAAATCAAATATGTATATGTTGAGAACTACAAAATATTGCTGGGGGAAAAATACAGGAACCCCTAAGTGCATAAACTTTTTCAGCAACAGAATAATTGATGCTAACATTCATGTGTAAACATAAAAATCCATGAATAGCCTAAACAATCTTGAGAAAGAAAATAAAATTGTGGAGGGCTGGGGAAATAGCTTGACCCGAAAGTATAAAGACCTGTATTTTATACTCAGAAACCAAGCAAAACACCAGCTACAGCGAAATGAACTCACAACCTCAGCACCAAAGATGTAGACTTGGGAGGATCCCGGGTGCTCACTGACCAGTCAGCCTAGCCAAAATGGCAGGTTAGAGTGTCAGTGAGAGACCCTGACTCAAAAACAAACAAGGTGGAGAGAAACTGAGGAAGACACCTCAGTTAACCTCAGGACGGACGTCATACACACAAACACACAAAGACTAATACAAAGGATTTGCGTTCTCTGCTTTAAAACCACACGGAAAAGCTAACCAAAGAGAAGAGCTAGTCTAAGAGGGAAACACATAAATGGACGGCAACTGAGAATCCAGAGATAACCCTCATGTCTGTAGGCTGTCGGCTTCTTTTCTATTTTTAAGATTTATGCGTTTTAATTTGTGTAAAAATGTTTGCCTGCATGTATGTAGACGCATGTGTGTGCCCTGGAGCTTGCAGAGGCCAGAAGACAGCATCAAATGGCCTGGGACTGGAGGTACAGATGTTTGTAAGCGGTCATGTCGGCGCTAGGAAGCAAACCCAGGTCTTCTGCAAAAGCAGCAAGTGCTCTTTTTTTCAGATGTGTTTATTTATTCATGTGAGTGCTCTATTTGCATGTGTGCCTACATAGCAGAACAGGGCATCAGAGCCCACTATAAATAGTTGTGAGCTACCATGTGGTGGCTGGGAGTTGAACTCAGGACCTCTGGAAGGGCAGCCAGTGCTCTTAATCGCTGAGCCATCTCTCCTCGATCAGTTGGTTTTTTGACAAGGTTTCCAATATCATTCAAAATGATGTTTTTATTATCATTTTTGAAATATAAATGTTTCAAATACAAGGGGGAGAATAGTCTTTTCAATAAATGATAATAGAACACTAGATATAAACCTGAAAATAAATGAAGAGGACACCACACATAAAACCTAACTCAAAATGTATCAAAGCCCTAAATTTATTATTTAAAACTTTTGGAAGAAAATATAGAGGTAAATCTTTATGATCTTAGATTTTACAATAGATTTTTAGATATGACAACAAAAATAAGAGCAACAAAAGGAAATGCATATTAAAATAAGAATGTATTATATATTTGTAAATTATATATCTGACATTTTAAAAAGCTCCAAAGGACATACAAATGCTCAACATTTTTATTAGTGAAATGAAAATTAAAACAGTAATAGCTACCATTTCACATTCACTCAGCTGACCATTTTTCTGTATTAAAAATGTTTTACATTAGCTTACATATTTGATGAGGAGCACATATAGAGGTCAGAGGCCAACTGCAGGGAGCAGCTCTTTGGCCTCAAACTCACACAGATCCACCTCCCTGCACCGAGATTAAGGGCACAGTCCACTCTACCCAACCCAAAGATGAAAAATGAATGCTGGCGAATACATAAAGAAATTTGAACAATGTTGTGAGACTATGAACTGTTTCAGTCATTGTAGAGGTAGTGGTTTCTTTCACAAATAATACCTAAGAGAACTAAATGTTTAAAAATAACATACACATAGCATTCATAGAAGCATCCTTGACAATAGTGATACATTTGGTTTAATATGAGATGTGTGATTGTGATAAACAAATACAGACTGCCCATAGAATACAGAAAAACCATGAAAAAGACTGAGGAGTCCATTCATATAAAAATATCCTAGCCAGGCTGTGCTGGTGCACGCCTTTAATCCCAGCACTAGGGAGGCCGAGACAGGTGGATCTCTGAGTTCAAGGCCAGCCTGGTCTATAGATAGAGTTCCAGGACACCCAGGGCTACAGGGTTTGAAACCCTGTTTCTAACACGCACACAAGCACTCAAAATAATTAGCAAATAAATAAATAAATAGACGGATGAACAAACAAACAAATAAATAAAACACCCAGAATGAGTAAATTCATAGAGACAAAAAAGCAAATTAGTTAGTGTAGGAGGAAAACAATGCCGCAATTAACCATGTGACTTACTAGAGGCGCATAAAGATGAGGTAATAAAAGAGCGGTTTACCGCACCAATAACCACACCCACTTTAGGCATGACTAAAGACGTAGGCGGTGAACTACGTCACTAGCCAGGCCCACTTTTGAGCATGGCTAGGGGCATTATGGAGGAAGGTATAAAAGGCTGAACAGCGGAAGTCTACCTCTCCTTTTTCAGCTTTCGGCTTCCGGTTCGGCAGCGGGAAAACTACTCGGCTCATCTGGGTTACTTGTTTGATCTCTTGTGAGTAATTTCTACAATAAATACTTATTTTTACTTTCAGTAAGTGTGCCATTTATTGTTGCAGCATCAAGTGAGTAGTCAGAGTTGGGAGATGGGTTACTTTATAATAGAAAATATGTAATACAAGACAGTTTCAGTTTATCCTTGCACAACTTTTGAATCTATTAATCCCACTGTTAGCAAATTTAAGATGATAAAAAGGTAGTTTATGTGGTATGTATTTTAAAGTATGCATTTGTACTATAGGACTGCCTAGATTCAATCCAAGATCTGAATTGACTCTACCCTTTCTTTTTTTAAAGAGACTTAAGCCATTCTGTGCCTCAGTTTCCATATCTCTTTGGTGGGTAATAACGTGACTTTGCTTTGAAGCATGCCTACAAATGTCTAAAGTATGTCTCTGGCAATAATATGAGGTTATTTTACGACACAATAATATGAAGCCATGCCTTTAATACCAGAACTCTGGAAGCAGAGGCAGGTGGATCTCTATAAGGTCAAGGTGAATTCAAGGCCAACTTGGTCTACATACTGAGTTCCAGGAAAGCCAGAGCTACACAAAGAAATCCTGTTTCCAAAAAAACAAAAACAAAAACAAAAAAAAAAGAAAGGCACAATAATTTGGATAATGTTCCTTTATTTGTATGCTTTCCTATGGGTCTTATAAACTTTAAATGGAAATAAACAAATGTATTTTACTTAAAGGCAAGAATTGGATGTGTTAAAAATGATGGGCTGCTTTTATCACATAATAGAACTGTAATTAAGTGATAATTGAATTGTCACACACCAAATTAAACCCTCAAGAAAGTGCTCTAATTGTACTATTTCATATCACACTTCAGGAAAACTTAACCCCATATACCTTTCATCTACTAGTGATAAATACAGTCTTTGACATTGTTTCTATTCTTGGTTACCTTGAAGAATAACTCCAAGCTTCTACTAGAATGTGGGAAAAATGGTTTTGTTTTGTTTGTTTTGTTTTCAATGCTCAGGAGGATTAGTAGATCTAATCACTTATAACTATCAGCCTTCAATATAGACTCCCCAAGTCAATAAACTACTTAGAACCAGATAATATTTCTCAACATATAAGAGATAAGTTATAGATACTTCTGTATAGGGATGATGACATTAATATGGTAGGGATTTAGAAATGAAAATAGTCAGAAGAATTTACAGAATACACATACAAATACACACACACAGTGCTACAGATTTTTCAATGAAAAAGAATCAAAGAGGCAAAACTAGCCAAGGCCAGGGTACTGTTCTCATGGCAGCTCCCACCCTGGCAGGAGCCAGCGCTCGCAGAGACTACCAGCATCCAAGTCCCATTCTCTACAAACAGGACAGGCAGGGTAAGCGTGGGACTGTCTCCAGCCTGCCTTTCAGGCCCTGAGCAGAACTACCAGAGACCTGGGGAACTGCACACCTTTAACCAAACTTACCAAACAGCAGAGTGTGAACATGCAAATTAACAAAATCAGAAATAAAAAGGGGTAAAAACAACGGACACTGAGGAAATTCAGAGAATCATCAGGTCATACTTTGAAAACCTGTACTCGGGGCTGGAGAGATG